CATGATAAGGTATTGATCCATGGGAAATACATAATTCAAGTCAACAGGTGTTTTCATGTGAGTGAGTCAGTTTCAAACCTGCCTGGAACTCATGACATTTCATTTTTGTGTAGATGTGACTTAAGTGTGTTAAATGCTTATATAAGAGGTTTGCGAGGAAGCGTTTTAACATGCTGCACTTAGCACTTAAAACTTGAACATAATGGGGTCTTTGAAATATGACGACGTGACGTTTAATTTGAAAATTACTGGCTTGATAGCATTGTTTGAACCTACACCGAAACGTCACTCTCAGTGTAGTTGTTTAATCATTATGTTATTATCCTTCCTTTGTGCTCCAAATTCTAAATACCTCTCAAAACAGTTGAAAATATGATTACACAATGCCATTTAGAAAGTGATGAAATGTAACATATGTTATATTTGGGATTACACTTTCTTAGTGTAGTACAGATTCGAGTACTTTTGTTGGGTTGAGTCCCATCCGGGATTCGAACCCACGCCCTCAGAGTCAGGCACCTAATCGCCAACACACAAAGTCAGCAGCCAAACCCGCTCAGCCACCACGACTTCCACTAAGTCTTGGGATGGGACTCAACCCAACAAAAGTACTAGAAACTGTACTATACTAAGAAAGTGTAATCCCAAATATAACGTGTGTTACAGTTGAAAATAGTCACTTCGACCTGAGCTGATTTTGAGAGATGAACTTGCATTGTTATGGTCATGTGAAAGGACCTTTGATTATTCGGGTTAGAATTGGGCTTCAGCAACCCATGTTGAAGAGGACTAACGGGATCGCTGACTTGGTTGGCACAAGTCATCGTATCCCAATTGAGTAGATGGATGTTCGTGATGTTGATCACTGGGTTGTCTGTCCCGGACTCGATTATTTACCGACCGCCGACATACAGCTGGCATATTGGTGAGTGCGGGTTAAACAACACCACAACTAATCATGGTAAATAATAGATTTCGGTCGTAAAGTACTAGAAATCGGTCTTGTTTCACTGATTTCAGTCATGTTTATTTCATTTCATCCAAGGTTAGTCAAAGATTTGCAATCTAATGAAAGTAATAGGTTTAGTGTGAGTAACTTTAATATGTCAACTGTATGCTAGCAAGGATAGTAAGTGGATGGCTGAAAGTTTTCGCTTCACGCAGAAGGACAAGGTTCGATTCCACATTGGTATCATATGTAAAGCCCTCTGTATAGAACGAATAAACGGCTCAATCACTCACTTCACTCAACAACACATCCACTGACTCAGCATCAGCAATACCAAACCTTCTCTCTCTCTCTCTCTCTCTCTCTCTCTCTCTCTCTCTCTCTCTCTCTCTCTCTCTCTCTCTTTCTCGCAAACAAGGGGGCAACAATATTTGGACCATAATCTGTTTTTAAAATCAGCATGTCTAGTTAACCACATTCTTTTTAGTAAGATATGGTCATAAATTATTTCGGAGTATTTCGCAAGCTGATAATGCTTACATGTTTCCCGGAATGCCTGAACGTGCAGTTATGATGACATTCAAGTAGGATAGGTTAGATTGAGGTTTTTAGCTCGTGTAGTTGCCATGATAAAAAACGTTTGCTTTTAAGCCTGATATTGCAGGGACAAATGATAAAACTACGCAAACATTAATTTGACTAAACAACGGAAATAGAAAGGCACGATATCAACTGGCGTTTATTTAACTCCAAGCTGCAAAACAAACGCACGTGACAAAAACAACAGTCAGTCGAAATGGTCTTTACGTAACTGAACAATTAAGGCTTAGTCGACAAAATGACCAATTGTGTAGTAAAAAGATATTTTTAACCTCAACCGAAATGTCTCTTTCAAGATTCTATCTGAGGACATTGACGTTTGAGTGCTCTTTTAATCCTAGTTGACTTAACGTTGACTCTATTAAACGAGCAGTTAAGCGCCGAACGTCAAACTGACGACACACCACCTAAAAACTAATCTCAGCACAGATAGGCCCCTAGCATGAGAAATAGTGCCATCAAGTCCGTTTAATCCTTGACAATTGAACGTACCACGTGAACGTTAGGCAGAACAGAAACTAGTTTGTTTTCTTTCTTGAGATTTGAATCTGTGACGAAGGAACTTGTGGAATGTTGTTTAGTTGAGGTAAAAGACTGGGACGTAATTATCATGCGTGGTTCTTTAAAGTAGAGACGTACTATTTGTGTGGTTCGATATGTGAATGGGTACATAAACTGGTGAAATAGCAGTCGTATGTGTGGATACGTCACATAGTAAATTACTAGTTGTGCGTGTATGGATGACATACTATTTCAGTGTGTGGATACGTCACATTGGGATAACTAGTCGTGTGTGTGTGTGTGTGTGTGTGCGTGTGTGAATATATGCGACATATTATTTTTGTGTGTACATGCGTTAAATTGTGCCATACTATTTGAGTGTGTGTGGGTACGTCAAATTATGATACATAGGTCTTGTGTGTGGTAGCGTCATATCGTGGAATACTAGTCGTGTGTGTGTGTACGCCACATAGTCATATACTAGTCGTGTGTGCAGATACGTCAAAGAGTGACATACTAGTCGTGTGTGCGGATACGTCAAAGAGTGACATACTAGTCGTGTGTGCGGATACGTCAAAGAGTGACATACTAGTCGTGTGTGCAGATACGTCAAAGAGTGATATACTAGTCGTGTGTGTAGATAGATACGATAAAGAGTGATATTCTAGTCGTGTGTGCAGAGACGTCAAAGAGTGATATACTAGTCGTGTGTGTAGATACGCCAAAGAGTGATATACTAGTCGTGTGTGTCGATACGTCAAAGAGTGATATACTAGTCGTGTGTGTCAATACGTCAAAGAGTGATATACTAGTCGTGTGTGTAGATAGATACGACAAAGAGTGATATACTAGTCGTGTGTGTAGATAGATACGACAGAGAGTGATATACTAGTCGTGTGTGCAGAGACGTCAAAGAGTGATATACTAGTCGTGTGTGTAGATACGTCAAAGAGTGATATACTAGTCGTGTGTGCGGATACGTCATAGAGTGATATACTAGTCGTGTGTGCAGGGACGTCAAAGAGTGATATACTAGTTGTGTGTGTCGATACGCCAAAGAGTGATATACTAGTCGTGTGTGTCGATACGTCAAAGAGTGATATACTAGTCGTGTGTGCGGATACGTCAAAGAGTGATATACTAGTCGTGTGTATAGATAGATACGACAAAGAGTGATATACTAGTCGTGTGTGTAGATACGACAAAGAGTGATATACTTGTCGTGTGTGTAGATACGCCAAAGAGTGATATACTAGTCGTGTGTGTCGATACGTCAAAGAGTGATATACTAGTTGTGTGTGCAGAGACGTCAAAGAGTGACATACTATTCGTGTGTGTAGATACGTCAACGAGTGACATACTTGTCGTGTGTGTGGATACGTCAAAGAGTGATATACTAGTCATGTGTGTAGATACGACAAAGAGTGATATACTAGTTGTGTGTGCAGAGACGTCAAAGAGTGATATACTAGTCGTGTGTGTAGATACTAAAACGAGTGATATACTAGCGTGTGTGTAGATACGTCAAAGAGTGGTATACTAGTCATGTGTGTAGATACGTCAAAGAGTGATATACTAGTCGTGTGTGTGGATACGACAAAGAGTGATATACTAGTCGTGTGTGTGGATAAGTCAAATATTGCCATCCTAGTCGTGTGTGTGGATGCGTCAAGTAGTCTGATACTATTGGTGTGTGTGGATACGTCAAATAGTGTCATACTAGTCGTGTGTGTGGATACGTCAAAGAGTGACATTCTAGTCGAGTTTGTAGATACGTCAAAGAGTGCCATACTAGTCGTGTGTGTAGACAGATACATCAAAGAGTAACAAACTATTCGTGTGTGTGTATACGTCAAATAGTCCCATACTATTCGTGTGTGTGGATACGTCAAATAGTGCCATACTAGTCGTGTGTGTGGATACGTCAAATAGTGCCATACTAGTCGGGTGTGGATCCGTCAAGTAGTCCGATACTATTCGTGTGTGTGGATGTTTCAAATAGTGTCATACTATTCGTGTGTGGATACGTCAAATTGTGCCATACTAGTCGTGTGTGTGGATACGTCAAGTTGTGACACACAAATCGCCCATTACAAGAAAACATTTATATCTGTAGCGTGCGTTGATGCGCTCATGCGCTTTTAAAAGTAGTATTTCTTTCCAACAAAAATAATTTCCAATGATCCATTCACAAACTTTTCACCACTTGTTTACCATTTATTCCCAATGGAATCTGTTTGTCAGACAATGGAGACTGATTACTGTCCGCCTTTGACAGTTTATGTCTACCATTTAGGGAAGCGAACCCAGAAGAGCGATCACATTAACAACTCTGCCCGTTGAACCGTCATAAATACTGCGTGATTAAGATCAATACCAGGTTGGTCAGGGTGTGAACAGCTCCCCACTGAAGAACCTCGTCTTATTGGAAATCGTAATTGATATCATTCACCGACTCTTTAAACTCACACATTTGGAAATCTAAACAACTAAAGGCGTTTTACTGTAAATCTAGCAAACGCAATGCACGGTGATATGTACACACGGTGATATATTATTACACGGTGATATAATATTACAAGGAAAGTTATAAGTGCTAATGAAGTATGAGTTTCTATATATACGTCATTAGTCTAGATATCATAGTTTTCAACGCTAACAATAACACTTACAACAAGTACGAGTGCAGGTTTGCATTGTAACGAGCAATCACTTATCCATAGCTTTTAACTCTCAAATATTTTCTTGTAGATGTTGACTTTGTTAACTGGAGAAATCGTAAACTTCCTAGTGAAAATAAACTCCGAACAAACCACATACAAGTGTTTTCTGTAAAAACACAAACGTTGTATAATTTACTTAAAGTAAACCATAACACGACATGTACATGAAAACAACTAAACTACAGCATAAATACATAAACAAGTGTGAAGCAAAAATATTTACTCACCGTTAATAAGAATAGAACTTGCTCTTCAACTTAAGCTTATCCCAGTAATATTGTGCTACTGTCCTGGCGCAAAGTTCCGACTAGAAAGACCGATGCGCCCTCTGTTAGGAGAGATTCGTGTCACCTTCGCTTACTATTAGAGTATCCAACCAGTTCGATCTGTGGTCTCACAGATCACCTCTCCAATGATAATGCTGATCGAACTGGGAGCTGGGGCTATGCTGTTATTCAGACGGCTTCCCTATTTTATATAGGATTATGGGCGAGAGGGAAACCCGCATAGGTTAGTCATTAACGGGAACCTTTATTGGTTCTTTGCAAAATCAGGAGAGTTCCAACATAGCTGTTAATGCGATTTTATAAGTCTCTGTCCCCATTTCAAATATGAATGTCTGCCTGATAATGGAGACTTGGGGTGAAGTCATATCGGAAAATTTCCCTTCAAGCCAACAAAATGATGAGAGAATGAAATATGTCTGAATTTGTATATTTCGGTTTTCGTAGAGACAATATGTCTGTGGTTCATCACCGTGGTATATCACTGTGGTATGTTTAATTGCACTGTGTACAGTGATAGAAAAGAAGTTAACTTAAAACAAAAGAGATTTTCATCAGGCAGACTTCTTTCATAACTACATATGGATGTGACTAATATCAGACTGCATTCAATACGCGTAGAAACTTACATGCACGATGTGTATCGATCTGGAAATTGGAGTCGGTAGACAACCCAAATCAATTCATATTTCAGCAAATAAGCACGGCCATTTCCCATACCTTTTGGGCGTAACACCGAAAATCGTTCAATTCGTATCTTGTTTGAGTTTAATTTTCAAGGAACACATTTATCACAGTTTTATTTGATACGGTAGGTTGTCATTACCTCGTCCTTAAAATGTGGAAAAGTAAAAGTCATTTTCATGCTACTGAGAAGACTTTAATGGATAGATCAAACTGTTCGCTCGGCGATTCAATTTAACCGTACGTCGATTATATACTCTTTGTAGTTACATAAAAGACGGCAAGGTGTTGTTCCATGAATCCGTGGGCGGTTATGAGGGAGCTGAGTATTGTAAATCCAAGACATTCTCGATGTTACGTTTGACATATCATAAAATACAGGCTTCAAGAAAATAATATATGGTTATGTGGGGACATTGCTTTCCAAAGGACTAAGGGGAAGGTTAGTTAATTCATTAATTTAGTGTATATGACCATCATCCATCATTTCCAACGACATCAGCGTTGGTGAAGTTTGAGCGATATCTCAGGCCTTGGTGACAGATTAGCTTGATAATAGACGTGTTTTGTCGTTCCAGTCCCTGTGCACGATAATATGAGGACGCCAGTTGACGACACGCACACTGGGCTGACTCATAGACTTTGTTTATTCATGATATTGAGGTTCAGCCTCCCATGCGTACTAACCCCTTATCGTTATGAAAGACGTGATATATACATCAAAGAACGTTAAACCACGTATCGAGACGTTGGTTCAGGTTGCAGCACACGTGTTTTAGTAGTTAAGAAATGATGAAGACAAGTATAATGTTTAAATCCTGTGCTAGTTGGTGTCAAGAGAATTTGAAGTGCGTGCGTGTTGAGGGTGGGCGTATGTATCTTTTTAACATCTACGACTGAATGAGTGAGGAAACCATGTCAAACATCACGCCTTCTATACGCGGATTCCGACGAGATGACTCAAGAGATGGAAGAGAGGTGTGAGAAGGGATTAGCAAACTTTTTGAGCAAACCATTCATGACAACGTTCATTAAGAAATATAACTAAATTAGTCGGGAGAATGTGGTGACTGCCTGCAGGGATTTGTAGATTTCCTCTTTGAATAAGAATAATCATGTTAATAATACAATTAATAAAATCACAACTGTATCATGTGGTGACGTGTGTTAGAGAAAAAATAACAACCAACGGACATATTTCTTACTTCTAATCCAAAATATTTACCGAAAGAATTACATGTATTTGGATTGATGTTATCCTTTTTAAATATCCTGTGTCTTTCACCTCTTCAAGACACATTTTTGGACAAAACTATTTTCTCGGGATATATTTTGTTCAGGACATCAAACATGAAGAGTAAACATTTGGTCGTTTCAAGATTTCCAGATTCATAAGAAATCTCTGATAAAAGCATTGTCATGTGTACCATTCTTGTCATATCAGAGGCATGTGAACCTGAATCACTATAAAATAGTACCCCACCGGTTGTACCCGGCAAAACACATGCAAAGGCAAGTCAAATGTTCACCTATTCAAATTATGCTGGGATATATAAAATCCAAACAAACTCCCTCCATACCCTCCCCATGATTATGCTTGGATTAGTCTTTTACCTGTGGGGATTTGGGGGCAAGGTAATAGGTAACTTATGCTTGTCATAAGGCCTATAATATATTATTACGTGGTTTCGGATTCGTTGTAGTAAACGGCAGGTCGAAATGAAATAAATTGCAAAGCTATTTATTTCACATTTATAAAATGTCACTGAGGCAGATGGCAGGCAATCAACACCGGCCACTAGGTCTGTCCACCCAATCCAATTTAATAGCCTCTCACGACAAGCATCAGTTTACGTGGAATCAAGTCCAAGAAGAGCGCCAACTAACAGAGCTGACATAGAGATCCTTCCCATACAAGTTTCCAAAGCTAAAAGCACAACCGGGTGACATAAGTGATAATTAAATTTGATAAAGGGTTCCCTGGTTGAAAGGTTTGGATAAAATATCCCAAGTGACCTGTTTTCATTTTACTTCAAACGCAAGAGGCGCGGATCGATGACCACTCTGTCAGTTGTGGTTCGTCATCTGTTATACCACTGAGTGGTAGTGTTACAACTGAAAGCCTCATGAAAGACCAACGACTACCGGTCAGTTCTCATACATGTATCACTGGAAGCATCAATCAACATCAGTCCTGTAATCAAACACTCCGGATGTTAGATTTATGAAGGACAAGGTCTGAGCCCATTTGACCCGCAGAATCTGCATATTTTAAGAAATTTGCAAAACGATTACACATTTTTCTAAAAGTCGTTAGATGCGTTTTCATATGAAACAGAAATGCCTTTCTTCATTTCTACAGTTTCCTGTTATGAACTAGCATTGGTTTTTAAGAAGAAAGTTCTAGATTTTTCATATGCAGTCTTTTTTCTTGAATGCCAAGAGTGGCATTTCATCATACACGAATAACGGGTAGGTTTCCTAACACAGGGCCATCTGATACAAACGAAACACACCAGTACAGAAGGCCAAAATAAGAGACACCTAAAAAGGTATTTCTAAGGGTCGAAATTGAAGTGTTTCACAACTTTGGTGACAAAAAGTGCAGAGAAATGGTATGTGGATTAAACCGAAATATGTCTCCATTTTGCTTTGTTACATTCTGACCCTCTGGGAAAGAGAATCAGATTGGAAAACTTTACTTTCGGTTTCAATATTTCAAGTGTATTTGGTTTCATTAGATTCATTCTCTCTAAACACATCCTCGTTGGTGGATTAATTATGTTCAGGTAAACCCAACAAAATAACTAAGCCAAGTATTTCAATACATATTTCTCAGAATTGTATTGTAAATGGTTGGTTTATAACTATCAATAGGGTCAATATAATCTAATAAGTCAATGAATGGTCGAGTTGATTATTATTATTTCAGTTATATCACAACGTCTCAAGTTATTCCTTGGAATAAAGGCATCCTGTGACGCAGACGTCTTACATCTGAGGTGCCACCCACGATATTACGAATAAACCAAGCCAAATAAACCCGTACCTGGCCATATATATACTGAGTCAAAAAGAAACTTCACAAAATGTAATTTGAAAAATAATGAATACCTTTTCTCTGATGATACATCTATGTATCCGAAATGGGATCCCTATCGTTCGACTCTAGAAAAACGTTAGCAAAACCCACTCAAACCCATCCATTCCCCGTGCAAATGACGTTAGTGCCAAATCAGGTTTTGCACGTGCAGTCGATCACGTGATCTTCGCATCGAAGTTTTCTTCATATGCACGTGTTTGCATTGGCCTCAAGAATTGAAAAAACACTTTTAAACCACAGTTCTAACGGTACTTGAAATGCCACGATTGTCAAATGTGCAACGTGAACGTGCCGTTGGCATGTTGCAAGCGGGAAGATCAGTTATTGACGTCGCAAGAGCAATGGGATGCAGCCTTCGTACTGTGTATGACTTGCGAGGTCGTCTACAACAAACTGGCACCACTTCTGATCGCCCAAGGTCGGGTCGTCCACGTGTGCATCACGAGCAGAAGACCGTCAAATCGTCCTACGTCACCTACGTGACAGATTTCTGCCGGCTACAAGAACCAGGGCTGAGATGTTTAGAGGTCGACTGTCCTCACAGACCATTCGAAATCGGTTGAGGGCTGCCAATCTCCATTCTCGACGTCCATATCGTGGGCCAATATTGACGCCGTTTCATCAACGTCGACAGATTCGGGGGCGGAAGTTGCATGGTGTGGGGTGCTTTCTGTGGGAACAACCGTTCCCGACTTCTGGTCATCCGTGGAAACTTCACAGCTGCTGCTTACCGCGACCAGGTGCTCACCCCTGAACTCGTTCCTTTCTTGGCGGCTCATGGCCAAGGTCTACAGTTCCAGCATGATATTGCTCGGCCGCATACCGCGATGTTGACACGAAATTTCCTTCAAAACGCTGGAATCAACGCCATGGACTGGCCATCGAGGTCCCCTGGCCTTAATCCAATAGAGCACGTTTGGGATGCACTTGGGAGAAGGCTTCGTGGTCTTAGGAACCAACCTCAGAATTTGCAGGAACTTGGCGCTGCCTTGCAAGAGCAATGGCGCAGAATCCCCAACCACATGTTCACAAGCATCAGTCAGTCGATGAGGAGACGGTGTTTGGCAGTGGTGAATGCGCGGGGCGGCCATACACGACATTGAACTGAGAAATTTCGCATTTTTATTCTTGTGACTTCACATTCTGTATACCCATGTTTTGGAACGGCGGTGTAGCCTAATGGAACTGATTATGGCACTGTAAGTGTATCGAGTACATCACACAGATCTCAACAATGAAATAATAACAATTTAACCATCTTACCATCTCTTGTTCTTTTATAGTGCCCTGAAGAAAGAATGTGAAGTTTCTTTTTTGACTCAGTATATATACCACAGCAAAAGCATCGAAGCCACAGAATATAAATCACCCACGAAGCAACATAT